TTACCTTTTAATTTGTAAGATTGTTCATTATTATTTTAATAAACTTGAAAAAATAAAATATTAACAAGTTATTTTTCAGCTTATTTTTCATGAAATAAATAAATACCCATTAAATAAATAAATACTGAAAATTATTTTTTAATTTATTTTTTATTGCATTATCAAATATAAAAAACATAATTTATTTTTCTAAAAAAATAAAAATAGCATAACAGGATAAAAGGGAAAGGAAACAATAATTTTACGTGGAAAACCCTCTCAAAATGAGGGGGAAAAACCACGGGAGAATCACAGAAAGACTATTATTAATTTAAATGCTAAGGTAACAACTTTGTTTTTTTTATAATGTACAGATAATATTCAAACTATTATAAAAACAATAAGTAAAGAAATAAAAAGAAGCAAAGTCAGAAACAATATAATTAATTAATTAAAGGATATATACACATCTCCTCTTTCTCCTCCACCTCCTCCTCCGATGGATTTGAGCGCTGTGATTATTTCTCTTCCCCATGTTGTCGGGCGCCTGCATGGCAACACGAAAGATGATTATATATGAAATTGATGGATCATACTTTTAATTCATCGAAGCTATTATTCTTTTATTAAATTAACTATACAATACGTTCTTATTAGATGAAGATATTGTCTACTTCATGCATATATAAACAAACAAATAAATAAATAAAAGAGGAAGTTAGTTCCTAATTACGTACATAGAAGTTACGTGCAGCCATTTATCTATTGTCGTATTAAACCTCGCCAATAATTAGGAAACTCCTGCCAATTAAGAGGAGAAATTAAGTAGAAGATCAGCTTCCTAAAATTATACATAAATATAAGTTATCTGCAGCCATTTATCTATTGTCGTATTAAACCTTGCCAATAATTAGGAATCTCCTGCCAATTAAGAGGAGAAATTAAGTAGAAGATCAGTTTCCTAAAATTATACATAAAAGTGCAACCCTTTTCTATTATTAAATAAATAGATAAAAAATAATGTGACGTCAGATTTAATTATAAAAGAACACTTTACCTCATCTAATCTGTGGGCTATTCAACAAGCTTGATGTTTGGGGTGTGAGAGGCGTTGGGCCAGCCCTTTCCTCCTGCTTCGAATTGCGCTCCTATAATTGGGCTGCCTTCGATTTCCAATTGCTCTAGAGTTGTTGACTGGAGCACGTAATCCGGAAGTGCTTTCAATTTCGGACACCAACAAAATTCCAAGGAACGAAGAGATGGCATTATGATTGAATTGAAGATGTTTGTTTTATCTTCATTTCCTCCTCCTCCTCCTCCTTCCCACTCTTCCCACTCTCCCATACCCCCAAAGAACAGACTTTTCAACTTGGGGAACGCAATAATAGTATTTGACGATGATGATGATGTCTTTTCTCCAATACTAATGTCACCATCCTCCCCATCAACTCCCAATCCCAAGAATTCACGCCCCACCCTCTGCACGCGTTCCATCCTGTCTACGGATAAATCTTCAAGAGATGGCAACTTCCCCAAAGGAGGCAGATTCTTAATCTTCCCCCAATCCGCGAGTCTGACAACCCTTAGTTTATTAATCCAACAAGGAAACACTGGGATGACTCCTTGGTAATCATATATCGCCAATGATTCTAAGTTTGGAGGGGTCATGCGTTCTAAGGCTTCAAGGACTTCATCATCGTTAATTTTCTCCCTGTCTGTCCTCGATCCAAACCATAAACCTAAATGAGTGAGATGTTTCTTATTATTGAGTTCTGCTTTCTTAACCTCATCAGGATCTTTCACATCTCCCAACCATCTTATCGTAAGAGATCCTTGAAGGTGGTTCAAGTTTCTCAAATCCCCAATATTAGACACTTCACCACTACCACTCACATGGAACTCATCTAATTCCCGAAGAGAACTTAACCCCTCAAATCCTCTCATCTTCACAAACCCAGAGTAACCAACACTGAGATGTCTTAATTTGACTAGTCTTCCTATGTTATCAGGCAGCCTTTCAAGTTTATTACAGAAAGAGACATTTAAAGTTAGCATGTTATACAATTCACACATCTCTTCAGGTAACTCCCTGATCTTATCACTACACAAGTCAACATGCCTCAGGTGTATCAACTTTCCTATGTAGGATGGGACTTTTTCTATTCCACAGCTTGACAACTTCAATGTTCTTAGACAACTCAAATTAGCGATTAATTTAGGTAAGGCTGCATTCATCGATGAAGGATGACCATCAACAATCAGGCTGCGAAGCTTTTTGAAACAATGGATGGTCGAAGGTAAGGGGTCGGTATCATAATTTCTAAACACTAACCTGGAGTGTCGGGCATCTCTAGAAAAAGAGTCTATCTTCGACTCTGCCGCACCATCGATATCTACACTAAAACATTCATTTTTTGTCAAACTCTGCGCAAAATCATGCACCATGTCATGCATCTTACAAGCATAAATGCTGCCATCACCCTCGTCTTTCTCAAAATCTTGAAAGAAAGAGCGAGCAGCTAAAGCTTCGAAGCACTGGCGACCTGCTACTTCCATCTCTTTATTCGGTGTTTCCCGAAGGAAACCTTGTGCCATCCACAGTTTGATCAAAGCATCCCTCCAAAATGTGAAGTCTTTTGGAAAGACTGCACAATATGAGAAACACCGTCTCATATCAGAGGGCAGGTCATAGTAGCTCAACCATAAAGGAGCCAAAATTTTGCTTTCAGCTTCTTCAATCTCCCAGACATGGCTGTTCAAGACACTTTCCCACTCTTCTATTCTACTTTTAAATCGCAAAAGACTTCCTAGACTCTTTGCAGCTAGAGGCAAGCCTTTACACTTGGCTGCAATTTTTCTACCAATTTCATCTAAATCTCCTCTCTCTCTACTTTCATTTTCAGAAAATGCAAGCTTACTGAAGAGTGAGCAGCATTCATCTGTAGAGAGAAGTCCTAGTTCCAAAATGTCAGTACTGGGTGAGGAGCCCATGCTAGTCGCAACATTCCTCTTACGTGTTGTCGCCAGAATCCTACTTCCAGGCAAACAACCGCACTCGAGGGAGTCTTTCAGTTGCTCCCACTTTGTGGAATCTTCATTCCACAAATCATCTAGGACAAGCAAGAATTTCTTTCCCCTAATCAATGATTGTATTTTTTCTAGTAAAGTCTGCAATTTGATTAGATTTTGGGTAGACTCCTTGAGATCTTGAAGGATTGCCTTGGCAATCGTTATCTCATCAAAAGGATCTGATACACAAACCCATATTCTCTTATCAAAATGGTTCTCCACCTTAAGATCATTATAAACTAGCTTAGCAAGGGTTGTCTTTCCTATCCCTCCCATCCCTACTAGAGAGATTGTACGGAGGGCTGGTCCTTGACTACTCTCAGTACTGAACAACATTTTCATGACCCTGTCTTTATCATTTTCTCTACCCTTAACGTCTTTTACATCTATAACAGAAGCGGTTTCATGATGTTCATGCTGTTTAATTCCCGCTTCCAATGATTTGAAGTCCAACATATTTTTCACAATCACAATGACATCTATTCTTTCATTCAGTTCTTTTATCTTATAAGCAATCCGACGACGCAAACCAACTTCTCTAACACGAAAGCAAGAGAAGATCATGAAAGAGCATACCTTCTTTTTATTCTTGCTGGGATGTTCATGTACCTTGCTTTGCGATTTTGCAATTGCAGTGCCCCACTCATCCAAAACATCATCCATGTCGTAAGATACGTCTTTGAGTTGATCTAACCAAAGTTTGACATACCCCTCCTCCAATTGTCTTTCCTCTGCATTGGCAAGCACAGCTTGGATGGCTCGGAAACTGCTGGTGAGCTTTTCAACCTCGTTCTTGACATCAACAACGAGCCTCACTTCTTGTCCCACCTCCTGAATAATGATTGACCTCAGCTGCTCCAAGACTACGGAAACAAGAGCTTCAGCCATATTATTCAGAACTAAGGAATGGTTGAGAGACGATAAAATTGAAATAAAAGGATTATAAATTTGGAAATGTGCAATATAGGGAGAAATTGTTTGGTTGAGAAAAGAGGAGAAATAAAAAAAGGATGCAAAGGGGAGCTTATGATTTGATGATGCTTCATATCATCTATTAGTTGATGTATATATAGTGCATTGGAAAAGGCCATGGAATCTCTTAATTTCATGTACTGAAGCAAAAGAGCTTTGCTTTCGTGATGGTTTTTGGGATACTCGTCTTCCCCAAGAAATGCCCTTTATTCTTTCCTTTCGAGTTATCAGATGAAATATTCCCATATTTACTAGAGCTAGCTATCATGTGACTCCGTAAATCTTTCTTTTTTGAAAATAAAATAAAATTTGGATACGAATTCTTTACCCCCCTTAGTGTCATTAAGATTGCTTATGGAAGGTATCAAGAACAATGGCCACCTTAATCCATTCAATTTATACATTATTTCGGGACATACAGTAGTTTAAGCAAGAATCTTGAGCAAGTGCAGCAACCAGTTAAACTAAGAGAAGGGGAACACGGATGGAATCAGATGCAACTGCAAACATCTCCAGCCTACAGTTTGTTAAAAAAGGTTTCTCAAACAACGTATCATTTACTAGAATTTCTTAATTTGAATGACATCTTCAGCCTTATTATTCCACCAGATATCAATTTTTTCACTGCAAAACCCACATTCAAAATGTATAATCACTGCGGTGGCGATTTGTGCATCGCTGCATGTTTCAAACTGCGATATTGTGGCCATTTACTTTCATGCAATGTGTGAGCAAATTAATGATGCTGTCATTTTACTAAGTGATTTGCAGGCCATTAATTGGTTCTGAGCATTCTGCTGTGCATATTAGGTCCAGCCAAACTCCTACATTATTGCATGTATTGGAATGCCAGGAACCTATAGTAAGTAACAACTGAAATTGATGTTACCAGTCAATCTGGGACTTTAATCACAACAGGAATCAATTATCCGATGAACACAAAAATATAATGATTGAATAATCTGGGACTTTAAATTGCAGGCAGAGTGGTCTTTGTAAAACTGAAAGGTCGCCACTATTACAATGATGGTCGGTTATTGGGACTATGGGAAAGCAGCTCGCGGGTGGGGTGAGGAGAAGATATCAGATCTTCATCCTTTTGAGGTATAAAACATGTCATTTCAATGCCGAACATAAAGGTTTCAAATACCATATCATATGAGAACTCAAATGACTGTTCTTGTTCGTACTAAAGGAAAAAAACCAACCAGCTATAGGCCAAGTTAAATGTTAACTTGTATGCAGTGTCTAGCATACAAGTAGTCTTCTACTCAGAGTCATGTGCAGTATCTAGCTCTGCCAACCTCTTTGATAAACTCTTCTCAGAGTCATATGCAGTATCTAGCTCTGCCAACCTCTTTGATAAACTCTTCTCAGAGTCATATGCAGTATCTAGCTCTGCCAACCTCTTTGATAAACTCTTCTCAGAGTCATATGCAGTATCTAGCTCTGCCAACCTCTTTGATAAACTCTTCTCAGAGTCATATGCAGTATCTAGCTCTGCCAACCTCTTTGAGAAACTCTTTGTATCTGGAAGACCTTGAAGATCTCCATGTAGAATCTCAAAATCATCAGTGCATCTGGAAAGAGCTGCATAAAAATTTTAAAAGAATAAAGAATTCAGTGTCTCATCAAAGAATAAATTTTCAGCACTTTAATACCATTATGGGATGCTGATACCTCGTCCTGGGACCCTTTGTAATTGATAACCAAGGACATTGGCATCTCGTAATCTCCTTGCCCCACTGAACTACACTTTCACAAGGAAAAACAGAACAATTGTTTTAGACCATTCAAAGACAAGGAAATAATATTTTAATGTAAATCTGAATTTAGTAACTCAATTTTTTTCATAAGAAAGTTCTACCATTTTAACAATGTACAAGGTGTTTGACACAACAAAAATTGTCACACATAAAAGAATCAAGGCAGCTTAGCCATGTGCAAATCATCTCAAAAACTCAGCACAAAGGAATGAAAGGTTGAAAATTGAAGGAATTATCTTTGAATATAGTTACATTATCATTACAGAAAACTTGTCCTCAACGATGTTGATGCAAAACACATGCATTACTGATTACACCCCTCGTAAAACTAGATATCAAAACTTTGCTTACCTTATCTGAAGCATAGTTTTTACCAAAAGCTCTCTCCAGCAAAATGTGAGCTGCCACCTACAATTTCAAAATATCCAAAAGCAGTATATCAGTGTTGAGAAACAACATGTCAAGAAAATCACAGAAATCAGGACAGGAAGTAAGTACCTCGCCTCCATTAATGCCTCCCTCATAGCATGGTTTCAAACTAATTGCACGTTCAAGATAAGGTTACCGGTGACCAGTGAGTAAATCTCTCCTAATCATCTCAACACACCACACTGGTAACACTGGTTCAAGACATCATATTTCACTAGTATCAAAACGATGTGGAAGAGCTACAAGAAAAGACCACAGAGAGAACTGAAGAATAAGAGGAAGAGGAAGAAAGGAAGAAAACAAAAGATTATGATGACAGTTGGAAACAGTTATTGCACCTCGAGCATATTTCTCCAAAAGGGTTCTTCATTGAAATAATCTCTGCGCAAAAAGACAAATGGTAGCTTTAATGCCAGGGCTTCACTGACAGTGCCATATCCAATTTTCCCTGAAGAAATGGAAATCGCATTAAGTTTCTGTTTCAAACCATTTAATTTAGTTCAGCTACCAAAAATATCATTCTGACCAAGCATGCATTCTGATGCTGCAATGAGATCAGGTGTGTAGGCATCTTTTGCAAGCTTTATGAAATTTGGTCGAAGCTCACATCATCACTGATGCCACTTTCCTTCGTTACCCATGGTAAGAAAAAAAGAAGACTTGGATCAACATCTAAGAGATATAAAGAAGGGTTTCAACAGTGTTTGGAAGCCAAACCTCCTTGCAGGTTTTGTGCAATTTCCTCGCAGCTAGAGGTACAACAATGACATCCCGGAAAGCAAGCACTGAAAACTGGAGATAATTAATATTTTGAGAGCAACCAAACAATGTTCCTGCACCAAATACGGAAATGAGAAAGGAAACACAGGGAGATTCATCTTGAGGCTGTGTAAGAACCAACGTACTTCGGATTAGGAATTCACGGTGAGCAAAAGCAAATTTTAGCACTACTAAAATCACACACCAAAATAGGTAAATTGAAAAGAATCATTTCAGCAAATTAAGGTGAAGTAGTGTTTCCTAAAATTCTTAAATAGAAAACGTTGTCATATTTAATAGGTTTAGTTAGTAAAAAGAGAAATTACCTCTGGGTATTGCAGTCAGCAGTCAATTTTGATCTTTGGAGTATGTAAGGTGTTAGGCAGCCCTTTCCTATCCTATCTTTGATTTGTTCTTCAAGAATTGGGCTGCTTATGATTTTCAGTTACTCTAGAGTTGTTGACTAGAAGTGGTAATCAAAAATTGTTTTCAATCACATGCTTTTTCTTCATTAAATTTGACATCTCTACACGTCATTATTTTTTTTTATTAAAGTTATAAAGCTTATATTCTTTGGATTCATGATCATATCCCATGAAGATATCTTTTTTCTCTTGTCATCCAATTTATTTTTTATTTAATTATTTACATACAGATAATACAATTCAAGCCTTTTATAAAATATCTACTTGACAAGTAAATAACATAAATTTAAATATTATTAAAAATCTTTTTATTCCATGATCTTCACAAACTCATTAAAAAGAAATTCACCCTCATTTGTTCTCAGTGATTTTATAGAATAATCATTTTCTTTTTTAACTAACGGTTTAAACTTCTTCAAACAATTAAATACGTTAGATTTTTTATTTAAGATGTATACCCATGTTCTTCTAGTATGATCATCAATAAAAAATATAAAATATAGATTTTTATCAAATGAGCATGATTAAATAGGATCACATACATTTGCATGTATTTTTCAATAGGGCTGACTTGCTATAGATGTCAACTCCTTTAGAATGCTCTTGCAAAATTATTTTCCCACTAAACATTCTTCACACAAATGATTTGGATGTCTAATGGATAGTAGGCCTTTCAACATCTTCTTTTATGCCATCATCTCCAAGCTATCAAAGTTTACATGTCTAAGTATCATATGCCAAAGTAAAGTCTCATCTTTCACACATGTCTTTAAGCATTTATGCATATCTATTTCTATGTTTAGCAAAAAATATTTTATTCTTTATTATGGTTATATTTGCAATCATAGCTCTATGAGTATCATGTGATGTCAAAATATGATGTTTCATCTTAATCTAATAACTCTTCTCTAATAATTGTCTCAAACTCAATATATTACCTTTTATAATTGGGATATAATAAATATCATCAATAAATTGATGACTACTATTTTTCAATCTAATGAAAATCATACATTTCTTTTTTATGGAAACCTTTGAGAAATCCACGAAGGTGACATTACTTTTAATTGATTCATCAAGCTCTATAAACTAGTCTTTATTGCCACACATATGATTGTTGGTACTATTGTCTAGATACCACATATTTTCTTTAGCTAGCTTTGTTCATCATGGACTAATAATAAGGTGGCCTCTTTCTCCTCTTCCACATCAAAATTGACATTCTCTTTAACCTTTTTAGTTAGATTCTAACAATCCCTGACATAATGACCCATCATCCCACATTTGTAACATTTGATTTATTTTTTTTATCAAACTTGGATCTTGTTGTCAACTAGCTTGCCTTATTCAGTTGACCGGTTGACTTGTTGAGGCTGCCTCAACCTCCTCTTCCTAATCTGCCTTTTCCTCGTCTTTTTTTACCTTGTCCACGCCCTTTACTTGCTTAGGTATATCCAAAACCATTTTGCCTGTCTTTTAAATGGTGTTTTGAAAAGACTGCTTGTGCACTCACGTCTTTTTGAATGTCATTATCTCTTTCTTTATGGATTTATAGTTTTTACATGAGTCCTTGAATAATCAAAAAGCCTATATTTTGTGAATTTTTTTTATCGTAACCACCACATAATGAAACTTGTTTTGTAGCAAGCATAAAATATTTTCTACCATATGTGTTTCCTTTAGGGGTGTTCACGGTTCGGTCTTGTCACGACCCGAATCCCGGATCCATGACCGGCACATAGGCAAGGTTCCCCTCCAAGGTTCCTGATTAGTACTTAAAAGTGTATTTTTATCATGGTTTTATATCATCATTTTGCACTTGAAGTATCAATAACTCCTTAACTAAAATATGTTTTATAATAATGTATCTAATAATATAAGATACCTATAATTTGTGGTAAATGTCTATTTTTAATGCAGGCCTATCACATAAATGAAAGGATTGATTGATGACTTGAAGAACTTAAATTGCAAGGATAAAGAGATGACCAAACTTAGAAAAGAGATGTCGGTGCAATCCAAACCGGAACACTGTTCGGTAATTGGGTCATATCTGGAGCTACAGATCTCAGATTTAGGTCCAATTTATATGGATGGAAAGGTAAGACATAGGCCTACAACTTTCATATGGAGCCCAAGATCTAAAAAGGCCATTATCAAGTCCAAATTGTAGAAACAACAAAGAAGCCCGAATCTGTCTTCCAGCCCGAGCACTGTTCGGTATTTTGGCCATATCTGGAGTTCTAGAAGTCCAAATGAGCTGAATGTTTTACACAAGAAAGCTGAGACAATTGCCTACAACTTTCATGTTTGCAACTGGCTCCAGTTTTGACGTTATCAATGACGTTTTGGGCAGACAAGAGAAGATAAGGATTGTCACCAAGTCAAAAGTGGCCACCCACTTATCAATTAGTCATCAAATCAATAGTTCCCAATTTTGGCCTATAAAAGGAGGCATTTGCCATTTTGACGTTATCAATGACGTTTTGGGCAGACAAGAGAAGATAAGGATTGTCACCAAGTCAAAAGTTGGCCACCCACTTATCAATTAGTCATCAAATCAATAGTTCCCAATTTTGGCCTATAAAAGGAGGCATTTGCCATGCATTTAGGCATCTTGGTTTCCAGATCAAGATCATGCTCTTCCTTTCTCTCTTTGTATTTTTTGTAATGTTTATGCTTTGCTTTCATTAATATTAAGTTTATGCCTTTCATTTCCTTTCCTTTACTTAGTTAACTTTTATGTTCTTATTTTGTTTATCTATTTTGCTTTCTTTCATTATGTCTAGCTAAGTTAATTATGTCAAGGTGAAAAGGTTACACTAATGGTGTAAGAATAAGTATAATGTAAACTTAATATGGACTTTAATGTTTGATACTAACATGTTTTATATTTGTTATCTTGTTCACTCTTTAATACTTTGCTTGTTAAATGACTAATCTTGATTTATGTTGTATAACACTTGGTACAACAAATGCTTGACACTTTCATAGCCCATAATGTATGGTATAACCGACACCTGAGCTATGAAAGGAACTTGATTTGTTGTTAACATAAGTTATAATCATGAATGCTTGACAAGATTTACAAGTATTAGCATTAATTGAATAGGATGACTAATGTAATCATGTTAACAATATATAATCTGATTGGAACCTCCTTTGTGTGTGGTTTCCAATTCAATAATAAGAGTTTATACTATACTTGTTTGATATACCATTAGTGGAACCTCTAACCTTGACATTTGTTATTATTATTGCTTAATCCTTACATTAATTTTCCATCTCCAAGTTCTCATCATCTTCTTCTTCTTCTCTTTCTTTATTATTATTATTATTACTACTACTATTATTATTATTACTACTACTACTACTATTACTACTAGTATTATTATTATTATTATTATTATTATTATTATTATTGTTGTTGTTGTTGTTGTTATTGTTATTGTTGTTGTATTATTGTTATTTATAAGTTGTACAAATAACCTCCCTGTGGTTCGACCCCGGTCTTGCCGGGTTATTTATTACTTCGACACTCCTGCACTTGGGAGAAGACATCAATCTTTCAGTCGTGTCAGTTCCATACCTATGCGAACCCAAACTTACACACAAACTTATCCTAACTCAATCAGAGTTCAATGCAACATTAATAACAAAATCAACTTCATAATATAATTGAAATGTCTTAATACAAGAGTTAATATAATTTCATAGTTTTGGAGCACTAATTAGATATAAAGAAAAATGCACGGATTACAACCAAAAGAGTAGGTTCTGAAGGTCCAACAAAAATGATCTGCTATCAAGCTATAAGCCTGAAAATGATAAATAATGAGAGTGTGAGTTCAACAACTCAGTGAGTAGATAACGTTCAATATACACACACGAGATAATACAACAATGAGAAATATATATACAAGTATGAATTTAGGTTCTTATAAAAAGGTTTCTCAAATAGGCCATAACAAGAACATCATATGGTAAAATCGTCAGAAAATCAAAATGCAATGAGCATGAGGCTCCGTACTGTGGGATGATCAGTCCACACAGGTTGGTGACTCCCCCGACCAACTAGGGTTCAGATACGATGTGCACAAAGACTAACACTACCCTGTTAGCATGGGTATTCTGACTGACATACCATAGGGTTATAATCATAATCAATATTAATATCCCAAGGCTCAACTCATGACATCAATCAAATGAGGAGCTATCAATTCAGAAGTCAATCCAAAATACATATTGGTTCATATCAAGAATTCGGATTCAACAAATGATCATGCTTATCATAACAAGGATAATAATCACCATATATATTATCAAGAAGCATGATCCAATTCATATTAACAAATCAAATATTTATAATATTCTCATGCATATGGAAAATAATCCACTCACCTGACTCGAAAGCAAACAGAAATCAAAAGCAAATAC